ATAGTTTTGGTTCAGATGTAAACCAAGCCCAAAGGTTTGGTATTTTAATGTATAATAATGATTTGGTAGAAAAACATTTTTGTTGCCAAACTGAGGTTTGTCCCCAAAAAAAGGCCATCCAGATACTAAATGTTTTTAAGGCTACTTACCACATAGTATGTGATTTATTCCAAGGTTTTACACTGTCGGCACCTTTCAGTAATTCTAAATTAAAATGTAACATCTAAGAAAGTGAGATAATATAAATATATATCTTCTACTCAGGACTAGTTTTATTGATTTTACTGCATTGCTTTACTTATTTAATGCTGTCTGATTTGAGTCTGTCTTTAATATTACCTCAGAGGTCCGTATTGCCGCGGTGGAGGCGTTGTGCCAGCTGGCTCGCTCGTCTGCCAGCTTTGCCGAAAAGTGCCTGGACTTCCTGGTTGACATGTTCAACGACGAGATCGAGGAAGTGAGGCTGCAGTCCATCCACGTGCTGAGAGAAATCTCCACCCATATAACACTCAGGGAGGACCAGCTGGACACTGTGCTGGCTGTGTTGGAGGTACACACACACACACACAGGTCAAACATATATGTACACGTTGCTGAAATCACTGTCGATCTCCAGGACTCGTCTCGTGACATCAGAGAAGCTCTCCATGAATTAATTTGTTACACCAACGTCTCCACTAAAGAGTGTATCCAGCTGGCTCTGCTGGAGCTGCTGAAGAACCTCAACAAGTATCCCACCGACCGCAACTCCGTGTGGAAGTAAGACTCAGTGTGTGTGTGTGTGATTTGCAGCTCTTATGAGAAGTGATTAGATTCTTTGAGTGAAGACATTTTGTTCAGGACTAGGATTAGGAAGGTGCACACTGTGACACTGTGGTGCCTTTAAAGGGTGCTGCAAGTTATGTTCATTATCTCACTGTGATGTAATAGTAGTGGTTAGTAATATAAGTAGTTTCACCACATAAGGAAACATTTTCAGGTTCAGGACATGTCACTATAAAGTTAAATAAAATTGAATGCACCTTACAAAATAAGAAAAGTAATGAAACTGACAACCAACTACATCAACATTGTGAAGAGTGTTTAGTGAAGAGATGGGGATACCATAAAACAAGTCTAGGGTTTACGAGTCTTGCTGTTGTGTTTTGTTTGTAAAGGAACTCCATAAATGATCTGAAGATTGATTGTGTTTCTTATTTTCTTCAGGTGTCTAAAGTTCATGGGTTCCCGTCACCCAACGCTGGTGCTGCCGCTGGTTCCCGAGTTGCTCAGCACACACCCGTATTTTGACACACCAGAACCTGACATGGATGATCCGGCCTGTATCCTTCACACATCCTAAAAATCTCAAAACACACTGACGTTAAAGCCACGTTAACACAAGTCAGCCAATATCGACGACAAAGGGAGAAAACATAAAATCTGGAACATATCTGTCATTGTACAGACTTGTAACGTGAAAGTCTGTTATTTTTTTCACATTAAACCTGTGAACTGGGTTTTTCTCTCTTAACTCTGGTTGTTGATCTCAGACATCGCGGTGCTCGTGTTGGTGTTCAACGCTGCCAAGTCGTGTCCCACCATGCCGGCGCTGTTCTCCGACCACACCTTCAGACACTACTCCTACCTGAGGGACAGTCTGTCGCACCTCGTACCGCCACTGAGGGTGAGACCTGGAATACTGTATGTTTTCAGAATAAGGTCAACGGTCATATTACTGCATGTCAACAATACAGACGGTTCTGATGCCAGATCAGTTCACATGTCCCATCCACAGCCAACAGACCCAACCACAGCCCTTTACACAATATTTACAGTCAATGGTGTAACTGTTCTCCTGTGTTTTAGTTGCCGGGCAACGGTCTGGACTTGGTGGACTCGCGTTGTGGTTTGGGTTCTGTGGAATCAGCTCAGCTCTTCCTTCAGCAGAGTCTGAACAGGGTCAGCACCATCCAGAACCTGGAAGCACCTGGAGCCCAGGACCTTCTGGACTTCACCATACGGTACACACACACACACACACACACACACATTGGCAAGCAGAGGAACTTAAATCCAGGCTTTTTTCCTAAATAGTAATTGTCACTTTTGTAGTCTTTTTCTTTTATTTTGTCCATTCAAGACATTTGGAGTAAATTGAAGGAAATGCTGTTTTAAAAAGTATTTTTTTAAAACCATACACACTAATAGTGAACAGTGTATTCAGGTAATTGTCAACCAGCAACCAGGTTTTGGTTGTTTTTCACTGTGGCCGTTGTTGTCTCCTCCACCAGCACTGAGACGAGTGCGTCGTATGTAGAGCTTCTCAAATGTGAATATTAATGTTCTTGTATCTTTTGGGTTGTAGACAAAACAAGACATTTGTGGACTTTGCTTTGAGCTTTCGGAAACAGTGATCAACAGTTCTCCCCATTTACTGATATTTAATGGACCAAACAACGTATTGATTCATCGAGAAAATGTTCAACAGATTAATTGATAATGAAAATAATGGTTAGTTGCAGCCCTAGTCGTATTCTGTATTGACTACCCTTCAGAGGTCCTTGTTTTAATGTGTCACAGAATGGATGTTATTTGTTGCTAGTTAAAAATCATTCAGCAGAGGTTGTTTTATGATCTAAAACCTACATTTATCTGGTGATGTGGTGAATGTAACAATTTAATTTCTGTCTGTCTGTCTGTCTGTTAGAGACCTGCGGCGGCTGGGGGAGCTGCAGACAGAGCTTGCAGGAGCTGCAGATTTCTGTGCTACATACCTGCGCTGCCAGCTGCTGCTCATGAAGGTAGGAGTGTGTGATTTTGTCTGGGCAGCCTTATGTTACTTGTTTTAGTATGTAAGGGCGTTTGGGGGTAAATATAACATTAGTATCAGTTTAGATTCACAGTAAGAACCTTAATGTTTCCTCAGGCTCTGCAGGACAAGCTGTGGAACATGGCTGTCCCTCTCTGCCTCAAACAGAACGTCACCGCCACAGCAGCAGCTCAACAGGTCAGCACGCTCTAGTGTTGGTATTATCACGCCTGTGAGAGCATTTCAGGGGAGTTTTGTCTGTTAAACTGTGTGTGTTTATGTTTCCAGATCTTAGAGGAAACCTACAAGCTGGAGTTTTTATACAGCGGCTTGGACAGCAGACAGGTGGCCACTATACATCATGTTCGCCTGCAGGCCAAAGCTCTGCAGCTCATTCTGACTGCTCGCACCAGACAGGGGTCAGTACACCATGTGTATCATCACATACGTTTAAGAGTTCAGTTTCTTAGTTTGTCTTTTCTCTTCAGGTTGGATTCTCTCATCAGCAGCTGTGAGAAGTTTTTGCAGGACATAGAGTCTTTTCAAAGGTCAGTTCCAGATGTGTTTGAACTGAATGTTGCTTCTCCATGTTTAATTTTGACCCTGATGGGGTCATTGTGGATCTCTGAGTCCTCTAGATACAGAGTAGCACAACTAAAGCATTTGAGAGTTCCCTAAAAAACTTCTTTTATCGATGTATGTTGTTTATAGAACAGTTGGTTAAAGGACTAATTCCACATTTTCTGCCACCCCCAGGCTGTTTCTGACTGAGCTGCCCCACCTCCAGGACAGTTTTGTGGACAAGCTTTTGGAGCTGATGCCCCGGCTGTCGTCCTGTAAACCAGTGGAGCTGGTGAAGATCCTCCAGACGACCCTGAGACAGAGCAGCCTGCTGCAGCTCAGACTGCCTGAGCAGGTATACAAAAATAAAAAAATGTTTGTCTACCCAACAGCAGTGATGTATGGGCTGATGAAGAGTACTTCTCATTTACATTTGCCTGTTGATGGACAGATCCACCGGGCGACAGCCACCATCATAGAGCCGACAGGAGAGTCTGACAACCCACTGAGGTTCACAACTGGCCTGGTGGTGGCGCTAGACATTGATGCAACGCTAGAGCACGTCCAGGACCCCCAGAACAATGTGAAAGTACAGGTCAGTGTGGTGTACAACACAATAACTATCCATTTCTGAGTTAACAAACCTTCGTAGGCTCTGGAAAGCAATGAGTCATTGCTGCTGATTCTGTTGGTTGTTGGTGCTCATGCCTGAAAAAGAAACAACTCAGATTGAAAGGTTTCTGTCTCTGCAGGTTCTGTATCCAGACGGCCAGAGTCATGTGATCCATCCTAAACCGGGAGACTTCAGAAAGCCGGGACCTGACAGACACAGACTCATCACACAGGTTTACCTGTCACACACAGCATGGACAGGTACAATACACACACCCATTATGTTTCAGTGTCAGAGATTCACAGACACTTCTGCAAATGATCCACCTGTGCATCTTCACTCACAGCCCATCTTCCCTTCTTGATACACATTTCAGTAATAGAGACGTCCTTCAGGATGGCGTGTTGATATCAATTTCCGTGTCACAGGCAGGCGGATGGAGACGAGTTGGCACAAAATGGAGAAATGAGACAAGACTTTTTCCTTCATTGACTGCTCCGTCTTTCTCTTTCAGAGCCGTCTCAGATTGAAGTGCGCCTCCTGTTAGCCTACAGCTCCTCTTCAACCTCCCTCTCCTCACCCTCCAAGCTGGGATGGAGTGACAGCATCGACAGCCTCCCGACACCAGAGACCGCCGTAGAGGGAACAATTCCATTCAGCAAACCCGTCAAAGTCTACATCATGCCCAAACCCGCCCGGCGCTGAAACTGAAAACAAAGGAAAGGCCGACGAAGCTTCCTGGCTTATTTTTTTTTATTTATCAAAGAGGATGTTGGCTCATCATCAGCCATGTGACGTTCATTAGTGTCAGCACATATTTACATTCACAATAATTCACCTTCTGAATTCAACACTGGACAGAAAAAGTGAACCAATTTCTCTTTTTTCTTCAGAACACAGGGCAAGAAAATGATATGTGCATAAAAAAATTATTTATGGTCGAGTCGTCGGAAGCACAACAGTATTTCTTCCTCATGGTGTGTTTGTACGGGAAATATTTTTGTATGTGTTGTTTCTTATAAAGACAAACCCATGTGATGGAGATGATCCAGTTTCTCTTTTTATTTTGTGTGGCAAACAAGCAGAAATACATTTTCACCTCAGGAAAAATGTATTGTACATTTATTATCAACACCACCACTGATGTGATCTGTGTTATTGTTCTATTGCACAGTCCACCACATTTAATAAGTAACTGTTCAAATTCCACAGAACTGATCATTCTACAAGCAGCTGGAGTCAGATATACCAAGGCCTCCAGAAGTGATTTCTCTGAGTTTACTGATATATATCAGACTGCTAGATTTCTATTAGCTTTCTAAAGTTGCCAGCACTCTTCTGGAATCAGAGCTTGCCCACTTTAAATGTTTCAGTTACCCTAAATCAGTGCTCTGTAGTCATGCTGAGAGCTAGAAGAGGCACAATGGAGAGTGTAGGCAGTTGTACACTACGGGCTGCCCGCCCCCCCATACTGTGTCGGTCACCCCAGAGGGTGCAGCAAGGCGAGGGTGAAATCATCAACAGGTGGAGTGGAAGACCCCGCCCACCTTTGCGCCCTGGCCAGCCAGTTTGTTGTATTCAGCCACGGCTTTCTCTGTCTGCAGGACTCTGACATCGACACCTTTCTGCTTCACAAAGTCCACAGTGGAGGAGGGAACCTGAAAGAAGGGACGACGTTGCTGAAATTCTCAATGACTGGTATTCGTTTTTACCTCTGAATAAACTGGACTATCTGTAGGTGTTTTACCTGCAGAGCCTCACTCATGCCTCTGCCAATGACCAGCAAGTCTATTCCCTTCTTCAGCACCTCCTCCAGATCAGCAGGTTGGACTCCTGGGTGATGCTGCGTTGGGAAAGAGTTAAATAACATGAGCACTGTCATCCCTGTTAGAGGGGAAACCTCTGAGTTATGCTACAGTTGTATGGCCTACTTCAGCTTCAGGGTATGTTGTCCAACAGTTAACCGGAAACAATGAAATTTGAGTAGACAACTGTAGGTTCTTGTCAATATGCATTCCTGTACATATCTATGTATTAGGATTCTGGTTCCACTCACATCAGTCCCGGTCTCTCTCCAGTCCCAGGCCCGGCTGCCTCCGGGCCAGACCTTACAGTCCTTGTAGCTGGAGGAGCAGCCCTTCACCTTCATGTGGCCCCAGGAGAGAGAGGCGATCTCGGGAGAGGACATGTTATGTGCGGATGCCTGTTGTAAGACGAGGAAGAGACACAGATGTAGATTATGTGTACATGCTCTGCAGAGTCATTATTAAATAGTGTTCCAAAAAAAGCTTGAAAATACTTTTAAAAAGGGCCTCTCATTCACCCACACAGCAGCGAACTACCACGACAAAGCACTGGAGCGTTGGAGAGAAGGACACTTAAACATGTGGGGATTGAACCACCATATTAAATATATTATAGATTTGTTATACTACTAAACAAATCAGCTGTCTGTAGTCTTTATGGTCTTGTAGCTGTCCAGAGGGAATTTTCTCTGTCCTGCAGATTTGTTGCTTCAGTGCAGCTTTTACCTGAGTTACCTGAATGAACTCTATTCTGCAGTCCGTACATATTTTGTGAGAAATACATTTACAAATTATTCTTATATGCTTTTTTATCTGTAGCAGTATTTTAAGCAGTTAGATATCCTTTGTATTTTATTTTCTACATGTTTAACAGGGGTCAGCGCGAACCCCCCCACTACCACAAATTTATGCAGTCGAGATTCCCACATTTGGGAATTCGTTGAGGTCAACCCAACCGGAGTGCAATGGTCAGGCCTCACCAAGGTGAACCACCTTCTTGATCATGGTATCTCCCCTGCCAGGTAAGTATGAGTGTGCAGCTCAGAGACAGGGAGCTCTCTCACAGACACAGCCACAGCACACTGACTGACGGTGCTAAGAATCTATATATGACTAAAACCAGAGGATGTAGAAGCTGAGTGAAACTGCAGAACATAATACAGAACATACAGTTTGGATCTAAAGCTGACAAAGATTATTTAGATTTTACTTGATATATGATGGTTATATTTCCCATAATGCATTGCTGTGTCCCCACATCAACAGCTAACCTGAAATCACCAGTTGTTTCTATTTTATCTCCAACAAATGAACAACAGTCCAACAACAAGTTCAAGTGAGCCAAAGCTGAATCAAAGTGCAATCAGAGGCTGTTTGATCCACATTTACAATCCAGAAAAAAACAACTAAAAACACAAAAGACACTTTTTCTCCCACACTTTACAACCACTTCCTGTCTCTTTGTTTACAGGGTAACTGAATTCCTGCTACTGCCACCTACTGGTCTGCAGTGAAATAAGACTTTAACAATAAAGTTCAACAGCAACACAAACTGCAGCCTCTAAAATGATCATACAGTTGAATCAACACAAACTGAACATTATGTGTTTATTTATTTATTATACGCTGTGGTTTGCTGGGGAGGAGGCATCAGGACTTGCGGTGGCAACAAACTGAGCAAGCTGGTGAAGAAGGCCAGCTCTGTGGAAGGGATGGATCTGGACAGTGTGGAGGCTGTGACTGAGAAGAGGATGAGAGGGAAGCTGAAAACCATCATGGACAACTCCTCTCGTCCTCTCTACACTGAGCTGAGGAAGCTCAGGAGCACTTTCAGCCACAGACTGATCCAACCTCGGGCCTCAAAGCGGTTTAAAGGCTCGTTTGTACCATCAGCAGGGGCGTATTTAGTCATTTGGGGGCCCAAGGCAAACCCAGTCATTGGGGCCCTCCACATTCTCGTACTGCACTGACAAAAGTTTAATTCTCACCTCAACACAAGGTCTTCAATGTGGTCACTCTCCACTTCATCTCCTCCTCGGCTGACACTGACAGCAGTGCTACTACTGGCTCTTGCTGTTGTCGAGTACCTAGATTCGGTGTCACTGTGAAAAAGGTTGACACCTTTTGTAGTTTTGATAAAAACTGTTTACCTTCCTCTCGCCTTCTCCTCTCCTCCGCTCCACTGGGATAACTCCGCTTCATTTTTCTCAACTCAAAACCGCGCCAACAAGTTT